GGGAGGTGCCCCCACCACCGGCTTCTGCTCCGTCTCCTCCGCAGACTCGTCGCCTTTCCCAGACTCTTTGCCTTCCACGCCCGTGGGCAAACCCATGTCCTGCAGGACCTGGGGAGGAGGGGAGGTGGCTGAGGAGCACGGACCTCCAGGAGCCCCCAGGACCTCCTAGAGCCTTTTGGGGACCTCCAAGAGCTTCTTGTGAACCCCCAAGTGCCCCTGTGGACCTCCAAGAGCCTTTTGGGGACCTCCAAGAGCCCCCTGTGGACCCCCAAGAGCCCCCTGTGGACCTCCAAGAGCTTCTTGTGGACACCCAAGTGCTTCTTGTGGACCCCCAAGAGCCCCCTGTGGACCTCCTAGAGCCTTTTGGGGACCTCCAAGAGCTTCTTGTGAACCCCCAAGTGCCCCTGTGGACCTCCAAGAGCCTTTTGGGGACCTCCAAGAGCCCCCTGTGGACCCCCAAGAGCCCCCTGTGGACCTCCAAGAGCTTCTTGTGGACACCCAAGTGCTTCTTGTGGACCCCCAAGAGCCCCCTGTGGACCTCCTAGAGCCTTTTGGGGACCTCCAAGAGCTTCTTGTGAACCCCCAAGTGCCCCTGTGGACCTCCAAGAGCCTTTTGGGGACCTCCAAGAGCCCCCTGTGGACCCCCAAGAGCCCCCTGTGGACCTCCAAGAGCTTCTTGTGGACACCCAAGTGCTTCTTGTGGACCCCCAAGAGCCCCCTGTGGACCTCCTAGAGCCTTTTGGGGACCTCCAAGAGCTTCTTGTGAACCCCCAAGTGCCCCTGTGGACCTCCAAGAGCCTTTTGGGGACCTCCAAGAGCCCCCTGTGGACCCCCAAGAGCTTCTTGTGGACCCCCAAGTGCCCCTGTGGACCTCCAATAGCTTCTTGGGGACCCCCAAGAGCCCCCTGGGGACCCCCAAGAGCCTCTTGTGGAGCACCAAGGGACTCTTGGGGACCTCCAAGAGCCCCTGCCCAACCGATTCTGGGGTCAGCTCTCCAGGAGGCCACTCAAGAACCCCTCAAACCCCAGGATCAATTCTGGGCCCTTCCCCAGACCCCACAGGCCCCACTTGGAAGACCTCAGAGCTGTGAAGTTCTCTCCCCTGTGACCTCCAACTCCTCCATCCTGACGGGTTCAGGACACTTCTCACCCACTTCAGATGCCACCACCATTCACCTCGTTGCCCTTTTTCCCCCCCCAAGAGAGGTGAGATCTCCTCCCTCCAGCAGCCAATTCCCACCCCAGAGCTCCTACCTTCACAGCCACGTGCAGCTTGGCTGTCTTTTTGGAAGGCCCTGAGGCCTCAAAGGTGCTGCCATCGATCTCCACTGACATGGTGAAGATGGGAGCGTGAACTGGACCAGTCTGAGAGACCAGTTTGTACTGGAGACCAGGTTTGAGCTGGTTGAGCTTCATCAGGGCGTTCATGGCCTGGGGGGGCTCGAGTTTCTCTTCTGAAGAGGGAGACAAAACCCACCCCAAGGTGTGTAAGATGTTCATGGTCTCCTTCAAAGCACCATCAACCAAGCCCAGTGATTCCTCAACCCAATTTGCCTCTTTTTCTTCCCCATTTGGTTTCATTTAAACTCCCAAAATGGAGTTTTTTTAAACATCAATTCCCACCCCGATCACCCCTGGATTGATGACAATTCCTCCCCCATCCCAAGAGTCCTTCCCAACCCCCACCCCATCCCAACATCTCCAGGTGTGTCCCCACCACCAGGTACCTACCTCTGCTCAACTCAATACCTTTTTTCTGAATCTTCTTCTTCTTTTTGCTGGGAGATTTTTCTTCTCCATCCTCTTCCATCGGGCGCTTCATGGGGGTGACGGCGTAGGTGGTGCTGGGAGGAATCTGGACTGGAACCACCACAACATCAACAATAAAAAAAAACAACCCCTTTCATGGTTCTTGTTTTCCAGCAGCAGAAAGAGAAATCAATCCAAGCCTGGGGAGATGTGGGGTTGGGTGGTTTCTCCTCCCAGTACCTACCAGTGTAGTCCACGGGGTTCTCGTTCTTTGGTTTCTTGGGCATTTTGGAAGGGAGGGGATCCATCCCCAAGACCTTGTGGAGTTGGCCAAAGGCAGCAAGCCTCAGGGCGTGCTAGAAAGAGGGAACTGGTGTTACTGGGACCAGCTGGGGGGGCTCCACCCAACTCCTCCCTGCACTGCCCACCCCTGCACAGAAATCCTCCTCCGTAGGACTCGCTGATCCATCCGGGTTTTAATTATGGTTGGGTTTGGTTTTTTGGCTTTGCTTTTTTTTTGGCAGTTCAACCCAAAACAAATAAACAAACAATGAAGGGTCATGGTAGCAAAGTCACTATTTAAACCTGATTCAACCCAAAAAAACCAAAGGGTCACGGTAGCAAAGTCACTATTTAAACCTGATCAACTTTTTGCTTCTTAAATTGGCCACAAAAATCCCTTCCGGGCACGTCGGGAACCCGTGGTTTGGTTTTTTTTGGGGTTGCTTTGAACTCAACTGGAAGAGTCAAATGACCTGGGAGAAGGGAGGGGGGAGGTGACTCCACTACCAACGACCCCAATGGGAGGTCCCAGTTGGTTGAACTCATGGATTGGGTTTTTTTTTTTGGTAACATCTGTAGTCAAAACTATACCTGAGCACTCTGTGTGATATCTTCCCTTTGTTGTCTGTCTAGATGCCCAATAGCATCAGTGGCTTCTTTTTCACAAGGATCATAAATACCAGAACCATCTGAAGGCAGGAAACAAGGAAGATATGCAGAGAATTATCCTGGTGTTTTGCTCAAGAGACTAAACTAATTTCCCTTCCGAGATCGACACCGTCCAGTCCAACGTTGGGGAATGTTCCTCTGGAGGACAAGGAGTCGCTCACCGGGATGGGACGGGAACTTCCTGCCCTGGTTTGGAGTTGGGGGGGTTCAGGGTGTGGGGCTGTGGGTCACCCGGTGACACCAGGGAGAGGAGGGGACATGGAACAACACCCTGGAGCTTCCATGGCTCCCTCAGGACCCTGTGACACTGGGGACAGGGACATGGAGTCATGGCTGGAGCTTCTGTGTCCCCTCAGGACCCTGTGACACGGGGAGAGGGGACATGGAACAACATCCTGGAGCTTCCATAGGTCCCTCAGGACCCTGTGACACTGGGGACAGGGACATGGAGTCATGGCTGGAGCTTCTGTGTCCCCTCAGGACCCTGTGACACGGGGAGAGGGGACATGGAACAACATCCTGGAGCTTCCATAGGTCCCTCAGGACCCTGTGACACTGGGGACAGGGACATGGAGTCATGGCTGGAGCTTCTGTGTCCCCTCAGGACCCTGTGACACGGGGAGAGGGGACATGGAACAACATCCTGGAGCTTCCATGGGTCCCTCAGGCCCCTGTGACACTGGGGACAGGAGGGGACATGGAACAACACTCTGGAGCTTCCATGGGTCCCTCAGGACCCTGTGACACCAGGGACAGGAGGGGACATGGAACAACATCCTGGAGCTTCCATGGGTCCCTCAGGACCCTGTGACACTGGGGACAGGAGGGGACATGGAACAACATCCTGGAGCTTCCATGGGTCCCTCAGGATCTGGGTGACACCAGGGACAGGAGGGGACATGGAACAACACCCTGGAGCTTCCATGGCTCCCTCAGGACCCTGTGACACGGGGACAGGAAGGGACATGGAACCAGACCCTGGAGCTTCCATGGGTCCCTCAGGATCTGGGTGACACCAGGGACAGGAGGGGACATGGAACAACACCCTGGAGCTTCCATGGCTCCCTCAGGACCCCGTGACACCAGGGACAAGAAGGGACAAGACCCTCAAAGACTTAAAAGTCATTTCCAGGAGGTGGGATTTGGGCAACATCCTGAAGACGAGCTTGGGAGAAGCTGCTCTGATGTTTGCAATCTCACCCACGAGACCAACTGAGCCAACAGGCACATCTGATGACGTGGTGGGGTCACCCCAAGGACCCCAGAGCTGTCCCCTCAGGACCCTGTGACACCAGGGACAAGAAAGGACATGGAACAACACCCTGGAGCTGCCACGTCCCCTCAGGACCCTGTGACACGGGTAGAGGGGACATGGAACAACACCCTGGAGCTTCCATGGCTCCCTCAGGACCCTGTGACACTGGGGACAGGGGACATGGAACCAGACCCTGGAGCTGATATGTCCCTTCAGGACCCAGGTGACACCAGGGAGAGGAAGGGACATGGAACACCCTGAAGCTTCCGTGTCCCCTCAGGACCCTGTGACACCGGGAGAGGGGACACAGAACAGCACCCTGGAGCTTCCATGGGTCCCCTCAGGACCCAGGTGGCACTGGGGACAGGAGGGGACATGGAACCAGACCCTAGAGCTTCCATAGGTCCCTCAGGACCCTGTGACACCAGGGACAGGAGGGGGCATGGAACAACATCCTGGAGCTTCCATGTCCCCTCAGGACCTGGTGACACCAGGGAGAGGAGGGGACAGGGAACCAAACCCTGGAGCTTCCACGTTCCCTCCAGACCCTTGTGACACCAAAACCAGACCCTGGAGCTTCCGTGTCCCCTCAGGACCCTGTGACAGCAGGAGAGGGGAGCAGGGAAGCAGAGCCTGGGGCCGGGGCTGTGGGGCAGACCCACCTGGCATGACGATCCCCGAGGCCAAACACTCCAGGACCCGTCTCAGCGCCTCCCCCGCGCCCATGGGCCGGTTGGCCGTGCCGATGGATTTCTCACACAGCAGCTCCAGGGGCTGCAACAAGAGGGGGGTTGGGGAGGTGGGAGAGGTGTGAGGGGAGGTGGGAATTGCTCCAGATCCACTCCGGATTAGAGGGGCAGTTCACACGTGGGTTTGGAAGCGGGAAATGGGAAAAAAAAACAGGTCCGGGAGGGAAAAATCCGGCGTCGACGGGAACAAAAAGGGGGTGGTTGGAGGTTCAGAGGTGGGTGTTGTATCCCCAGGGGGAAAGGGAGAGGGGAATTACCCCAAAAATGGGGTGGGGACGGGGGGTGTTGCCCATCCTTGGAGTGGTGACACCCAAAAATGGGGTGGGAAGGGGAGGTTTCCCATCATCGTGGTGGCGACACCCAAAAACGGGGTGGGAAGGGGGAAAATTGTTCATCATCTCAGTGGTGACCCCCCCAAAAATGGGGTGGGAAGGGGGAACTGTCCATCCTCTGAGGGGTGACCCCCCCAAAAATGGGGTGGGGAGGGGGGGTGTTGTCCATTCTTGGAGTGGTGCCCCCCAAAAATGGGGTGGGAAGGGGGAACTGTCCATCCTCTGAGGGGTGACCCCCCAAAAATGGGAGGAAAAGGGGAGATTTCCCATCCTCTGAGGGGTGAACCCCAAAAATGGGGTGGGAAGGGGGAACTGTCCATCCCCTGAGGGGTGACCCCCCCCCCCAAATGGGAGGAAAAGGGGAGATTTCCCATCATCTCAGTGGTGACTCCCAAAAATGGGGTGGGGAGGGGGGAGTTGTCCATCCTCAAAGTGGTGACCCCCCCAAAAAAATGGAAGAGGGGAATTTTCCATCATCTCGGTGGTGATGGTCCCAAAAATGGGGTGGGGAGATTTCCCACCCTCTGAGGGGTGAACCCCAAAAATGGGGTGGGAAGGGGGACCTGTCTGTCCTCTGAGGGGTGACCCCCCCAAAGAAATGGGGTGGGAAGGGGAGATTTCCCACCCTCTGAGGGGTGAACCCCAAAAATGGGGTGGGAAGGGGGACCTGTCTGTCCTCTGAGGGGTGACCCCCCCAAAGAAATGGGGTGGGAAGGGGAGATTTCCCACCCTCTGAGGGGTGACCCCCCAAAAAAATGGGGTAGGAAGGGGGACCTGTCTGTCCTCTGAAGGGTGACCCTCCAAAACAAATGGGGTGGGAAGAGGGAACTGTCCATCCTCTGAGGGGTGACCCCCCCAAAAATGGGGTGGGAAGGGGGAACTGTCTGTCCTCTGAAGGGTGACCCCCAAAAAATGGGATGGAAGGGGGAGATTTTACCATCATCTCACTGATTCCCCCCAAAAAAATGGGATGGAAAGGGGAGATTTCCCACCCCCTGAGGGGTGACCCCCAAAAATGGGGTGGGAAGGGGAGGGGAAGGGGAGATCTCACACCCTCTGAGGTGTGACCCCCCAAAAAAATGGGGTGAAAAGAGGGAATTGTCCATCTTCTGAGGGGTGACCCCCAAAAATGGGGTGGGAAGGGGAGATTTCCCACCCTCTGAGGGGTGACCCCCCAAAAAAATGGGGTGAAAAGAGGGAATTGTCCATCCTCTGAGGGGTGACCCCCAAAAAATGGGAGGAAAAGGGAAGATTTTACCATCATCTCACTGATTCCCCCCCAAAAAATGGGGTGGGAAGGGGAGAATTCCCACCCTGTGAGTGGTGACCCCCAAAAATGGGATGCAAAGGGGGAATTGCCCACCTTCTGAGTGGTGACCCCCAAAAATGGGATGCCAAGGGGGTTAGTGCCCACCCTGTGAGTGGTGACCCCCAAAAATGGGATGAAAAAAGGGGTTAGTGCCCACCCTGTGAGTGGTGACCCCCAAAAAAGGGGTGAGAAAAGGGGTTAGTGCCCACCCTGTGAGTGGTGACCCCCAAAAAAGGGGTGAGAAAAGGGGTTAGTGCCCACCCTGTGAGTGGTGACCCCCAAAAAAGGGGTGAGAAAAGGGGTTAGTGCCCACCCTGTGAGTGGTGACCCCCAAAAATGGGATGCCAAGGGGGTTAGTGCCCACCCTGTGAGTGGTGACCCCCAAAAATGGGATGCAAAGGGAGTTAGTGCCCACCCTGTGAGTGGTGACCCCAAAAATGGGATGCCAAGGGGGTTAGTGCCCACCCTGTGAGTGGTGACCCCCAAAAATGGGATGCAAAGGGAGTTAGTGCCCACCCTGTGAGTGGTGACCCCAAAAATGGGATGCCAAGGGGGTTAGTGCCCACCCTGTGAGTGGTGACCCCCAAAAATGGGATGCAAAGGGAGTTAGTGCCCACCCTGTGAGTGGTGACCCCAAAAATGGGATGCCAAGGGGGTTAGTGCCCACCCTGTGAGTGGTGACCCCCAAAAATGGGATGCAAAGGGAGTTAGTGCCCACCCTGTGAGTGGTGACCCCAAAAATGGGATGCCAAGGGGGTTAGTGCCCACCCTGTGAGTGGTGACCCCCAAAAATGGGATGCAAAGGGAGTTAGTGCCCACCCTGTGAGTGGTGACCCCAAAAATGGGATGCCAAGGGGGTTAGTGCCCACCCTGTGAGTGGTGACCCCCAAAAATGGGATGCAAAGGGAGTTAGTGCCCACCCTGTGAGTGGTGACCCCAAAAATGGGATGCCAAGGGGGTTAGTGCCCACCCTGTGAGTGGTGACCCCCAAAAATGGGATGCAAAGGGAGTTAGTGCCCACCCTGTGAGTGGTGACCCCAAAAATGGGATGCCAAGGGGGTTAGTGCCCACCCTGTGAGTGGTGACCCCCAAAAATGGGATGCAAAGGGAGTTAGTGCCCACCCTGTGAGTGGTGACCCCAAAAATGGGATGCCAAGGGGGTTAGTGCCCACCCTGTGAGTGGTGACCCCCAAAAATGGGATGCAAAGGGAGTTAGTGCCCACCCTGTGAGTGGTGACCCCAAAAATGGGATGCCAAGGGGGTTAGTGCCCACCCTGTGATGTTGGGAGTTGGGGGGGGGGCAGTTAATTAGAACTGTAGATTTGGGGGGTCAATTATCAAAATTGGGGGGGTGACAATTAATTAGAACTGTAGAGTTTTGGGGGGGTCAATTATCAAAATTGGGGGGGTGTCAGTTAATTAGAACTGTAGAGATTTGGGGGGTCAATTATCAAAATTGGGGGGGTGACAATTAATTAGAACTGTAGAGTTTTGGGGGGGTCAATTATCAAAATTGGGGGGGTGTCAGTTAATTAGAACTGTAGAGTTTTGGGGGGTCAATTATCAAAATTGGGGGGGTGTCAGTTAATTAGAACTGTAGAGTTTGGGGGGTCAATTATGAGAATGGGGGGTCAGCTAATCAGAACTGTTGGGAGTTTGGGGGAGGGGGAGTCAAATAATTAAGAGTTTTAGGGAGTTGGGGGGATTAACTAATTAAAGAGTTGTAGAAAGAGTTTGGGGGGTCAATTAATTAGGCGGGGGTGAAAAGGGCAGGAGTTTGGGGGAGTTAATGAATTAGAATGGCAGGGAGTTTTGGGGGTGGTGTCAGTTAATTAGAGGTGTAGGGATTTTAGGGGGGGCCAGTTAATTAGTTGTAGGGAGGGTCAGTTAATTAGGGTTGATGGGAATTCGGGGGGTCAGTTAATTAGAGTTGTAGGGAGTTTGGGGTGGTCAGTTAATTAGAGTTGATGGGAGTTTGGGGGAGGTGGGGTCAGTTAATTAGAGTTGTAGAGTTGGGGGGGGTCAGCTAATTAGAGCTGGAGGGAGTTTGGGGGGGCTCAATGAATTAGAATGAGCTTGGGAGGGGTTAATTAATTAAGAGACCCCCCTCCCCAAAGAACTGAAGGTTCAGCTGCCCCAGGGAAGGTCCTGTTGGTCCATGGATCTTGAGATGGACACACCAGGAAGATGAAAGGATGGAAAACTGGGAAAGGAGGGACAGGGAAGCACCAGGACCCCCCCAAAAATCCAGCCAAGGTGGAAAATTAACACCCCCCCTCATTCAAAAAAGCCCCCAGGATTGTAGAAGATCAGGTGAGAGCAGAAGGTGATGGAGCAGGAGCCCCACCAGTCATGGATTCCACCAGGGAAGGGATTTTGGGAAGCCTGGACCTGGGAGCTCCACAACCAGCATCTCCAGTTGCTCCACAAGCCACAGGAGGAGACCTGGGAACCACCTCCCCAACCTTCTGCAACACAAAGTGCCCAGCGTGTCCCCTGTCCAGGCCAAAGTCACTGAAGGAAGGATCTCCAGGATTTATGGAGCTTTCCTCAATTATTGTTGGTTGGTTGTGTCAATGGTTTCTGGTTTCTGTGCAGGTCTCAGGGTGATGGGGACAACCAGATGGGGACAACTAGTTGGGATCAACCAGATGGGGACAGACAACCAGATGATGGGGACAACCAACCAACCAACCAGATGATGGGGACAACCAACCAACCAACCAGATGATGGGGACAACCAACCAACCAACCAGATGATGGGGACAACCAACCAACCAACCAGATGATGGGGACAACCAACCAACCAACCAGATGATGGGGACAACCAACCAACCAACCAGATGATGGGGACAACC